TTTGAATTTTTTTAAAAATACCCTCCGCAAAGGTAGACAGCAATTTTATTCCATCTAATACGTTTTGAGGATGAGTTAGTCAATATGGAATATCATCCCCTTGTGCCTTTGACATTGAAAGGTCATAGTAGTTCTTTTTCGGCCTTCAGTTTTATCTTTATCACAATCACAGTTCCATTCCATCTTTCAACAAACCGGGGTCACTTGTTGCCTCGAGTCGAGTTGATAAATGAATTTCCTGTTGGCCCCACAGTTGTTGTTGTTGGGCTGAATGCTACCAGTTATAGTTCTTAATTGAATTTGGATTTGCTCCGAGTCTTTACAAAACTTCTGATTTTCAACATTTCTTGCGGGTTTTTGTTTGTTCTTGTTTATCCCCTATCTTCAGCTCAGCGTTTGTCTTGATCCTATGATTATGCATTTGATACAGTGCTTTATCACGTTGTTGAGATGGCTCAAAGCGCTTCACAGAAAATACTGTAAAGTGAATTGACTGAGTATTTTGTGGGCGAAAGCCAGCAACCATTTGCGGACAGCAATGTTCTACAGTCATGGATTGAGTGACCAAATTATTACTATGATTTTTTTGAATGGATTATTACCCCCCTGGAAAGCGATCTGCCAATCGACTACCAACTGGGTTCCTACTTACTGTTAGGTAAACAAAGGGGGGGTGGGGTAAGGAAACTTGCTGATGGTTTGGTGCCACCAGGGAATTAAACCCGGGTATCTCACTTGTGAGGTGAGTGCTCTAACCACTAAACTACAGGACTCCCCTGAAAGGGGCACTAAGTACGCAATTTTTTTCTCCTTCATGCCGTTTCTTCCACCTCACCTTTGTGTGTAGACCTGGCTCAAGTGTCTTGCCTCTGAGTTAGAAGGATGTGGGTTCAAGTTTCCACTCATTTAGTTCCAGGCTGACACTCAGTGCAGTGCCAGAGACATTAAATAAGACATTAAAACCGACACATGTCTGTCTGTTCAGGTGTATGGTAAAGATCCCATGGCATTATTCGAAAAGAGAGGGGAGTTCCTCCCAGTGTCCTGGCCCACAATGCCCTAAATAAAAAAAAATTGGTCATTCACTTCACAGCTGTTCGTGGAACATTGGCTATTGTGTTCATCTACAAAATGTACAGTCACTACACTGTACAATGTATTTGAGACATCGTCCAAACGTGAAAGAATTATTGTTATTATTGATATGTCGGAGAATGTTTCAGAGTGCTTCACAGAGATGGAATGGGAGCCTGAGCCGGGTATATAATAAGCAGGGGGTTGGGGATAGGCAGGGGGCCAGGTGGCTGTAGGTACTGGGGGCAAGGTCAGCTCCCGTTAACTCTGAAAGCCAAAGCCCTGACAGATAGGGTAGTCCTTGCTCGACAAGCAACGGAAAAGTTTGCCAAAGAGTGCTCTCAAAGGCAAGCTGTGTGGTTTTGGCTGGTTAAACTCCAGCAGTTATCGCACTGCACACTCTGGGGTCCCCAAGCCTTGACTTTTGCCAACCTGCGCATAATACTCCACGGAATTAAGTTAGCAGAATGCGTCCCTCCAAAAAGAGAGTGCACATTCTATTGCAACAATCTATCTCTGGGATTTCCATGTGTAGGTGGGATGCATGGTTTGCATGGTGATGGGTTTCTGCATGCAGATGTGTCAGACACCAGCTGACCAAAAAACACCCACAAAGAAAATATCTCAAAGGTAGCTACTGTCGAGACTTTTTATATAGGGAACTAAGCAGCCATTTGTACCAATGAAGTACCACTACCATCCATGAGGTGTGAATGATGGTGAATAATCAGTTAATCTGGAGGATTGTTGGCCAGGGAGAAACTCTCTATTCAAGTATATTGCATGTTATTGGAATCTGTAACGCACTCCTTTGTATCCTGTCCAGCAGGTGTGAGACAGGTGGTAGAAGAGGTCCCCAGGTAGGAAATACAGTATTCGTCTGGTAAAGGATGTAGGCTTTATAGAGAGCTGAAAGTTAAAGGAAAAGAATGATGACGGAAACAATAGCTGGTTGTCAGGGCTGACTTGACCTGTTAGGTATTTTAAGATAGCAAACAGTGGCTTTTAGTGCTGTAGACTGACGTTGCAGGATTGTAATTATAGCAAACGATAATGGAAAGTAACTGGGTGATGACAAAAGGAACTGAGCCACTTAGACCCAACGGAAACATTCCTTTGCCATTCGAGTGAAGAAGGAAACCTTGTATTTTATATTTAACAGTTAAAGTCTCGGCTTCCATTGCAATACAAACATCACTTGTCCGTCCGTGCTAAGTTTACAGCTGCCGATTGACGTAAATGTTGTTGAACAATTATCGCTTTCTGCCAGACTTATTTCAGCACTTAGAAGCTGGCCTTAGAGACCCAATTACAGCAACATTAACAGCACAGAGATAAGGAGCAGGAATTTCACTCGGTCCTCCAGTCTGATTAGAGCCCTTGTCCCCACAACAGCAATCATTCACATTTCACACAAAGGGACTCTAAATGCACTTCACACAACTGCTGGGGCAGTGGTGGATTTGTCGAAGGTGCTGTCCTTTGGATGAGATGTTAAACCGAGGTCCCATCTGCCTGTTCAAGGTAGAGATCCCATGGCCTATTCAAAAAGAGAAGGGAGTGTTTTCACCAACAATTCTCCAAATAAAATTGGTCATTCACTTCATGGCTGGTTATGGGACATTGCTCTGCACAAAATTAGATTCCGCATTTGACTACAAAATACTACACTTTACAGTTTATCCCGGGAACCTCTTTGAGACATCCTCCTGATGTGAAATGAGTAAGGATTCCCGTCGTATAGTGCTTAGCACACTCAGCTCGCAAGCGAGAGGACCTGGGTTCGATTCCCAGGTGGGGCGAAACCTTAGGCAAATTTTCTTACTCCACACGGCTCTGTCTCTGTCTGCTAGTAAATAGGAAGCCAGTTCTTAGTCGATTGGAGGATCGCTTTCCAGGAGTATTAATTCCGCTTAAAAATCCATAACTGTTCGTGGGACACTGTTGTGTGTAATTGGCTGCCGCGTTTCGCCCACAAAATATACAATCATTCCACTTTACCGTATATTCTGTGAAGTGTTTTGAGATGTCTCAACAACGTGATAAAGTGCGATATTCAAAGCAAGGATTAGTATTATTATCATCATCGTTATTATAGATTACTTTATTCTGGGTCAAGACAGTTTTGCAAAACTATGCAGTTGTTTGAACCCCACAGTGCACATACTCTTAATGCTGTCAGACCGTACAAGGTATGCAATCTCTTATTAGAACCCTCTTTCAGAGGCTGTAGAGAATCAGCTCCCAGCGACTGTGCAGGAATTTTTACATCTCCATGTGCATTCAGTTCTGCGGAGGAATGCTTACATAAATACACCTGCTTCCCAGTCTGTTTTGTCTCAGTCTGAGTTTGCGGCTTTACTGGCTCACCATCCACACCAATAAATTTACTTTCATGAACGTAAAAATCAATCCATCTGTTCAAGGCTCAAATCTTCTAACAGATTAAAAATCAATCCATCTGTTCAGAGCATGAATCCTAGAGTTACTCACAGCCAAAGCATTCCCCATCAGTCAACCCCATGTCTGGTGTTTCTTGTGGATGGAAAGTACCACATTGCCATTGCAATATCAGAGATTCAGGAAAGTCTTTCCCCCCAATTAATCTGCTTTATATTCATCCATATTTACACTCACATTTTCGATTCCATTGCCTGATGGTCTGGTTGTTGTTATTGGACGCTCTTTGCAAGTGCAGATCAGCCGCTATGTTTGGCTACATATTAATCTTCACTTCATTTCTAATCAATTTTACCCCACATGGGGACTTGGACTCACAGAATCTAAGATGACACACCTCCTAAAATTATGGTTATTATTATTGCCCTGGGGGGTGTTGCATTGTTGGAGATGCTGTCCTTTAGATGAGATATTAAATTGAGGAATCGTCTGCCTGTTCAGGTGGACATTACAGATGCCATAGTCCTAATTGAAGAGTGGAGTTTCTTTCTCCTGGTGTCCTGGCCAACAATCCCCCCAGATAAAATTGGTCACTCCCTCCATGGCTGTTTGTGGGACATTGCTGTGTGGAATTGGGCTGCTGAGTTTGCCTACAAATATAGTCGCTGCATTTCATAGTAAAAGGGCTTCGGGACGTTCTTTTGACGTGAAAGGCGCGATACTAAATGCAAGGGTTATTTTTATTATACGGTACATGTGCTTTTGGGTGAAAAGCAAGTTATTATTTTAAAAGCACTCTATTCCCCACCTGATCCCCATGGATAGATTAAAATCTACCTCTGGCATATAATGGCACAGTCATATAGTGGAATGTAATGGTAGATTAGATCTTATCGCATCAAGAAAGTTCTTTAATCAACATCAAATCATGGCAGGATATACAGAGGACATGTAATGGGTAAACTGGAGATGATCACCTGATGTTTATCAGTAAGATTTATAGAGGTTGCGGAGTGAGAAGTGTGGGGTGATACTTCCCGGACAGTGCAGAGTAGATCTAAGCAATGGAAATGTTTATTATTATCACCCACAGCTGGTATCATGTTTTACTGATGTGCTGTATCTACGTGTGTTGTTTCAAATATTTTCTTTGATTATGGGGCTATATCGAACGCAAGGATTATTGTCACCTATTGTAACTCAAACATTTCAGGTTTATTTCTGACTCTGTTCTGGCTTTCTTGCCATAGTGATATCAATGGTAAACTACATGGTTTTAGCTGGTTAGACTCCAGCAGTTACCCCAACACACACACTCTGGGGACCCCAAGCCTTGGCTCTTGCCAACCTGTACCCAATACTGTACTTTCCTTATTTAAAGAAAAATACTCATACTAAAGGAAATAAATAATTTGGCAGCGAAAATATTAATGGACTGCCATTCTTGATGACCTTTAATTCTTTTTGTCTTTTTAATTGTTAGTTTCCTGTTTTGTTGACACTGGTTTTCCTTCTTGTTTTTTCAGTTCACTCCTCCAGCATGGTTAAGAGAATAGACGGACCATCTCCTAGCCTCCCACGCATGGTGTTACTGTGAACGAGTTGTAATAAGCAGCTTGTGATATTCCAGCATCCTCTTCTCCTCGCACTTTCCCAGCATTAGCACAGGTGAGAGTTAGCTACATGTCAGGTCAAACGTGTGCTTGCTATTCTGTGACTGCCCTCCACCCCTACATACCATGCACCTGCCTGGTCTAAGATGACACTCCAAAAACAACAACTTGCATTGATATAGCGCCCTTCACTCAGGGCAACATCTTGGAGCGCCTAACAGTGGCGGAGCCTGATGCCAAGCTGCGGGGAGGGAGGGTTGGGTTTCGGGCTTCAACCGTGACCGTAAGCAATGGTTGAAGAAAAAGGTCTTCAGTCATGATCTAAAAAAGGGGAAGAAAGAGGCAAGTCAGAGGGAGTTACAAAGGTCAGGGCGTAGTGGCTGTAATATAGTAATAATAATAATCTTGCATCTGATATAGCGCTTTTCACGTGTTCGAGACGTCCGTACACTGCGGTTTTGGGGGAGCATCGCATTGTTGAGAGGTGCTGTTCTTCAGTTGAAACGTTACAGTTAAAAGACAATTCAGTCTCAACTTTGAAGTTGTTTTTATGTACTTCTTGAAATAACTATCTTCATATTTAACGCTTTATTTAAGTATTTCCCAAATCTGGATGCTCTGAAACGCTACGTAATCGAGCCCCAGGTGGAATTTGATCTCATTTAATGACATGAAAACCATTGTCTTCACTTTCATGTATGTGTGGGGGAGAGAGACAGAACAGATTGTATTCATTTTTTATACTTTTCTTATGATGTTTTTGCAATTTTTAAAGGTACAAATGTTACAACTTCACCTGCAAGATGTTGAAAGGCGCAAAACTGCTGCCAATTCAGGATCAAAGGCGATTGACGCTGTGTGGCTATAGTTTGCTCATTTCCACCTATCTTTGTACTTAGAACAGTTGGACACGGCAGATGCCCTGCAGAATTGTACCGATTAAGACCTGAACATCTGGAAGGTTTTGCTGGGAGAGTTTTTACTGTGAACTTGTATACACTTAGAGGATCTATAAGCCCTCTGAACAGCTGTTCCAAACTACGTCCTCAGCGATAGCAGCAGTGGAGATAATATTTAAACATATTAGTTCTTAATTCTCATAAAACAAAATTGCAAATAAATTAAATCATTGTGTGGGAACGGGGGACAACACCCACAAAATACACAGTTACTCCACTTTACAGTATCCTGTGAAGCGCTTTGAAACGTCTCAACAAAAAGTTATTAGTTACAAGGCGCTATATCAAATGCAAGGATTATTATTATTATTTCTAAAGGTACTGACTGGGAACAAGTTACTAAGCCTGACAATGTGAGGGAGTTGGAGTGAGATTGGGAGGAAAGTCAGTAATGGATTGTTCATTGATAGGGTATGTGTGAGAGCTTGTGGTCCAAAAATCTGTGTGAATAACATCTAATAGTTAGCAGCATTCACACCTCAACAGCTGACAGTTCCCAGATGTTCCAGTGTTATGTATTTTGCTGCTTTATTCTGAGTGTGCACTTGGGCGTTGGGAGTTTTTCAGTTATTATACACATAGCAGTGCTACTTCCCACTAAGCCTCTGCAGATTAAACCTTGGCTTTGTGGCAGAGATAACATTTGAATAGCGCTCCGAGGAGGAAGCTCATTTTGCCCATCAAGCCTGTGTTTCTCACTGTCCTTTCACAAATTCACACACCCACTCCGTCTCCTGTGGGAAGTTCAACATTAGCAATTTCCTGATAATAAAGGCTAAAAAAAAATTGGTCACTCAATCTCCGACTGCTTGTGTGACACTCTGTGCGCAATTGACTATTGGATTTTGCCCAAAATACACATGAATCCACTTTACAATATATTCTGTGAAGCGCTTTGAGACTTCTCAACGATGTGATACGGTGAAATTTTGTGGGCGAAACGCGGCAGATAGTTGAGCAGAGCAATTTCCCACAAACACCCATGGAGTGATTGACCCTATTTTATTCAGGGGGTTGTTGGCCAGGACACCGGGAGGGAGAAGCTCCTTCTCCTTTCGAATAACACCATGGGATCCTTAACATCCACCTGAACAGGCAGACCAGACATCGGTTTAACATCTTAATCAGCACTGGATTGGAGTGTCAGCTTAGCCTCAGACGATATTATTCCAAGTCCCGACGTGGGGCTTCAACCTTCTTGGAGACTTGCTAGTGTAATATGCTCTTTTACTGGTTGTTTGATTTTCCTGTAGCTGGTTATATCAGAGATAACACCTTGCTGACTGGGAATAGCGTACACAGCAAGTTTTGGAGACAGACCACCAATTCTTTGCTCTCTCACTCCACTGTTGCTGGAGGGAGGGCAGGGAGGGAGGGAGCAGAGCTGTGGTTAATGGGAGACTGCAAAAGCTCTTGCAGTTTACAGAGCTGTTTGTTTTGCTTGTGCAAGTAATGTGGTTATGTATTGAACAAACAGCAGAGCTGAGTTTTCTGCACAGAGCAAGTAACTTAATTAACAGCCTATTGATGCATGTGGTTGTCAGCCTGCCGACCTTCCACTCTCGAGGCGAATGATCCTTTACAATTTCAATCAGTTTAGAGAGAAATTTGAGGGTGTGGAACCAGCTGAGCTCCAATTTAAAATGTTCTCCCCTCCTCTGCAAAGCGCCTGGCTGCTGGATCTCTCAAGAACTCTTTGAGACGTCTAGAAGACGTGAAAAGCGCTATATCAAATGCAAGGATTATTATTTTAATAATAAAATTCACAGATGAGCCTAGACAATGAGTGTTGCCAGTGTTGCTGGTGTCCGCAGCGAGAGGGAGAATACAGCGCCAAGTCCAATCCTGAACTGACATCTCCACATGTGTAGGTTATTGGTTGGCACCCAGCGCCTGTGGAACTAAACTGCAGCACCAATCAGGGTCTTCAGGAGCTGCTGGAAAAATGCAGGGAGGAGGAAAGAAATGTTTTTTCCTAAAATATCAAATCAACTACGTGAAGAATCTTTGGCCTCATCGTCCACGTTATTTGCTGTGCACAAGAAAGTCAGTATTACTTTGACTTAATAAGGCTGTGCGGTATGAAAAACAATTTTACAACAACTCAAGACGAACCGATTTCCTTGAGGTATCTTTTTAAAAACGCAATCTGAACCCTGAGTGAAAAGGACAGCTTTGGGTAAGCTGGCTTATGCAATGTACCTTGAAACCCACTCTAATGGACTAATATGATGTTTACATTTCCCATGCCCATGACTGAGACTGGCCACTTCATCCTAAAACACAGAGTTTTATTCACTGGCAATTGGCTTGAGGTCCAGCCAGTTGGCACAATTATTGGGGATAGATTCAAAGCAGGCATGTTAAGCCTTACGTCACCCTTTCTGTGAGGCTAAATACTGTCCAGGTTCAGGAGATGACAGCAAGCTAGATGTTCACTCTGTTAATGCTATCTTTCGGCTTAGATAAGCCTATATTTTTACCTGGGCCTGAATGTTCAGGTGGATGTTAAAGACCTCATGGCATTATTGGAAAAGAAGGACCTTGAAGGCAAAATTTTTGTTAAACAGTCACTACATTTGATGGTAATTAACTGTGAAGTGCTCTGAGAGCTATCAGATATTGGAGACTTTTTGACCAAATAACATTTGCCAAAAATTTTACTTCATTCTTTAGGACGATTTGTTTTTCTAAACACCAAGTGTCAGCTATCGAGCTAGTTGATTGCCTTTGTAACTGATGTGGGAGCGACAATGGATGATATTGGATGATATTGAGTGATATCGTTGAGTTAGCTGCTTACATTTGTAACTGATGGGGGAACAGTTTACTGGATGATGTCACTAATTTAAACAGTTGCTATGGAAGTTTGCCAGTTTTCTTCTAATTTCTCGTCTCACTCGATTTGAATGGGTTAGTTTTCTCAGTAAGACAATAACCCTTGCATTTGATATAGCGCTTTATCACATCGTTGAAACTTCTCAAAGATCGTCGCAGAACGCACAGAAAAGTGAATTAGCTGTATATTTTGGGGGGAAACGTGGCAGCCAATTGCACACAGCAGTCTCCCACAAACAGCCACAGATTGAGTGACCAAATTATTTTATTATTTTTTAAGATACTGTTATCCCTGGAGTGCGATCCATCAATCGACTAACAACTGAGTTCCTACTTATCTAGTTGCAGAGTGAGTGAATCAGTGTGAGTGAGTGTTGCACGAGTACCAGGGTCGGTCTCGATTGCAATGTTGAGTCCCATAGCGTAGTGGTTAGTGTGCTTGCCTCGCAAGCAAGAGGACCCAGGATAGATTCCAGGCAGGATGAAATCTTAGTCAAGTTTCCTTACTCCACCCACCGCAACAAACTCCCAAAGAAAATTGGCCACTCAATCAATGACTGTTTGTGGGACTTTGCTGTGGGCAATTGGCTGCTGCATTTCACCCAGAAAGTACACATTTAATCCACTTTACAATATATTATGTGAAGCGCGTTGAGAAGCGTCAACAACATTATAAGGTCGTATATCAAATGCAAGGATTATTATTACTATTATTAATGTCCTCTGGGGTGCCAGAATCCGTGAAACTGTACCCCAGGAACTATCAGTATCTTCACAGATATGTTGTAAAGTGGATTGACTGTGTATTTTGTGGGCGAAAATACACTTACTAAATCCCAAAGCATTAGACTGTAACATTTTAAGATCTAATGGGCAACTCATTATTTGAATGATTTATGCAGCACCTGTTATAAATCTGAGGTCTTTTCACGGTTTACAAACACCCATGTCTTGTAAAACATTTGCTGGCGGATGGAATCTTATCTCAGAAGAAAATGTGGCTTTATGGATAAGTCTGGCACACCCATTGATCTCAGCATGAAGTCATTACAGCTGGGAGAAAGGGATTTTTTTGTTGTTTGGCTTTACTTTGTTTGAACCAATGACGTTGTTGGCAAGCAGGGAGGAAGTGAGCTAACTGCATTCAGTGTTTGAACAGTGGAATATTCCACT